GCATGTAATTTAAAAAAAAAGCAATGGTTAGGTTTTACTTGTTTATAAAATATATAATATAAAATAGTAATACACACACACATACGTGTGTATACACTCACCGGCCACTTTATTAGGTACCCCATGCTAGTAACGGGTTGGACCCCCTTTTGCCTTCAGAACTGCCTCAATTCTTCGTGGCATAGATTCAACAAGGTGCTGGAAGCATTCCTCAGGGAGTTTGGTCCATATTGACATGATGGCATCACACAGTTGCCGCAGATTTGTCGGCTGCACATCCATGATGCGAATCTCCCGTTCCACCACATCCCAAAGATGCTCTATTGGGTTGAGATCTGGTGACTGTGGAGGCCATTTTAGTACAGTGAACTCATTGTCATGTTCAAGAAACCAATTTGAAATGATTAGAGCTTTGTGACATGGTGGAAGTAGCCATCAGAGGATGGGTACATGGTGGCCATAAAGGGATGGACATGGTCAGAAACAATGCTCAGGTAGGCCGTGGCATTTAAACGATGCCCAATTGGCACTAAGGGGCCTAAAGTGTGCCAGGAAAACATCCCCCACACCATTACACCACCACCACCAGCCTGCACAGTGGTAACAAGGCATGATGGTTCCATGTTCTCATTCTGTTTACGCCAAATTCTGACTCTAACATCTGAATGTCTCAACAGAAATCGAGACTCATCAGACCAGGCAACATTTTTCCAGTCTTCAACTGTTCAATTTTGGTGAGCTCTTGCAAATTGTAGCCTCTTTTTCCTATTTGTAGTGGAGATGAGTGGTACCCGGTGGAGTCTTCTGCTGTTGTAGCCCATCCGCCTCAAGGTTGTGCGTGTTGTGGCTTCACAAATGCTTTGCTGCATACCTCGGTTGTAACGAGTGGTTATTTCAGTCACTGTTGCCCTTCTATCAGCTCGAACCAGTCTGGCCATTCTCCTCTGACCTCTGGCATCAACAAGGCATTTCCGCCCACAGAACTGCCGCTCACTGGATGTTTTTTCTTTTTCGGACCATTCTCTGTAAACCCTAGAGATGGTTGTGCGTGAAAATCCCAGTAGATTAGCAGTTTCTGAAATACTCAGACCAGCCCTTCTGGCACCAACAATCATGCCACGTTCAAAGTCACTCAAATCAACTTTCTTCCCCATACTGATGCTCGGTTTGAACTGCAGGAGATTGTCTTGACCATGTCTACATGCCTAAATGCACTGAGTTGCCGCCATGTGATTGGCTGCTTAGAAATTAAGTGTTAACGAGCAGTTGGACAGGTGTACCTAATAAAGTGGCCGGTGAGTGTATATGTATGTGTGTGTGTGTGTGTGTGTGTGTGTGTTTAGTTTACCACTACAAACCAGACGACAATACATTCTTTTTGTACATTCTTCTGTCAAAAACATCTTTCTGTATATATATATATATATATATATATATATATATATATATACAGTAGATAATTAATATTTGTGCCGCAATGCTTGCATCACACATCAAGACTGTGTGTTTCTTGTGTTGTGTTGACTGTCAAAATGAAACGAAACAGACTGCACAATCATACAGAACCTCTTAACATAGAGAAGGCGGGCAACTCGAGGATTTAAGCGCTCTCCTCCCCCCTCTCTCTCCTCACCCCCTTTCATGAATTAAAAGAACAGTCTGCAGGGGGAAGCATAGTTAATTCTGATCAGATCTCTCTCTCCCTCCACTTCCCCTGGCGTCTCACTCGGCCTGACAGACATAGATGGGATCTGACAGTAAACAGCCGAGCGGATGCCTTGCGCGTGATTGACACGCAGGCAGGTCGCCGCGCGCCCGCCCAGCACCTAATCCTGCCCTGTCAGGTCTAATTGGAGAGGTGGAGCCCCGTGTCACCAGGGCAACTGATTGGCAGGACCCCGGCTTTGCATAGATATGAGCTGTAGATGAGGGGTGCAGTACTACTTCACTGCTAATAGAGATATGGAGACTGATATAAACAGACACGCAAACATTTATGCATATTTTACACACAAATGCACATTTACTTACCATACTGGACGAGTTATAAAAATATACTGACAGAAATTACAGACCACATATGCACACTATTAAATGCACAACGTACTATGGTGGCCTGTTAGAGGTATACGGTGAGTTACTTTAGAAGTGTGAAAGTGTTTCTGGCCCTGTTTACATCTGGTTTTAAGATGATGACACTAAATACAGGTGTAAACTGGGTCTAAAACGTTTTGACCTTGTCCACTTTCTACCACTTCCAGAGGTAGTCGAAAACGCATTGCTTTCATAGTGTAAACGCTCATGTAGTCGAATGTGTTCGAACAGCCACAAAAGACAGCCTGCTCTCCGCCTACTGACCTAATGCTTAAACATTATGGGACACGCGCTAGCCAGACGAGATTTAAACTTTGTCGGCTGAAAACCCAAGTTTAGTTTGAAGTCGAAAAACAAACCAAGCACAATGTTCTCTCGCCATTCCTGATTTCTAACACACACTCACTGTGTTCGGCTGGTCTTGCGACTGTCAGAGCAGAAACGAAAGCTACTGCTCTCCATGTGTTTTCTGTCGTCTCTGGGCACATTCTTATGTAAATTGCGCAAGCTTATTTTGTCCATTAGTTCGAAAGATCTGAAAAAAAAAAAAAAACTTGCCCATAGACCCTCCACTCGAACAAATCAGGACAGAAGTGGTTGAAAGTGGATGTATTATTCTAATTTCTAGTAATATTGCTTATACAGGGAATATACATTATTACAAGGGTCACAATTATTTTTGTAAAATGCAATGTGTACTATGACTCAAATACACCTCTTCTATGATCATGTTCATTTTGATATTTTTTCGGGGAATACAATAAAAATGTCAGGGTGATACAACTGCACTAATGTGATATGAGAAAATTATATATATATATATATATATATATATATATTTCATTTTCTCGCCCTTGTAGGGTGTACTCACTTTTGTTGCCAGCTATTTTTACAATAATGGCTGTATGTTGAGTTATTTTCAGAGGACAGTAAATATATACTGCTATACAAGCAGCACATTGACTATAAAATATATCCAAGTTTCATTTCTATAGTATTGTTCATTGAGAAGATATAAATGTTTGCCGAAACGTGATGGGTGTACTCACTTTTGTGAGATACTGATATATATATATATATATATATATATATATATATATATATATATATATATATATATATATATATATATATATATATATATATATACACAGTGCTGGTCAGAATTATTTGCCCCCTTGGTAAATATGATCAAAGATGGCTGTAAAAAATAAATCTGCATTGTTTATCCTTTTGATATATATATTTTTTTAAATGAAGTAAAATAATTGAAAGTGGGGGAAAATCGCATTATGAAATAAATGTTTTTCTCCAAAACACGTTGGGAACAATTATTTGCCCCATTTTATCAAATACTTTTGCATCCTTCTTTTTCCAAGATAACAGCTCAGAGTCTTCTCCTATAATACCTGATGTTTGGAGAACACCTGACAAGAGATCAGAGACCATTCCTCCATACAGAATCTCTCTAGATCCTTCAGATTCCCAGATCCATGTTTGTGCTTCTTCTCTTCAGTTCACCCCACTCATTTTCTATAGGGTTCAGGTCTGGGACTGGGATGGCCATTGCAGATGCTTGGTTTTGTGCTCAGTGACCCATTTTTGTTTTGATTTTGATGTTTGTTTTTGGATCACTGTCCTGTTGGAAGATCCAAACATGGCCCGTTATAAGATTTCGGTAACACTTTATTTTGATGGTCCCTTTTGAACATCCTGTTGACTATAAGTAACTTTGCAACTACATGTCAACTAACTCTCATTAGAGTATTAGTAGACTGTCTGCTTAATATCTGCCAACTCTTTATTGTGATCATGCTCCTCCAACAGACAATCTACTGACTATAAGTAACTTTGCAACTACATGTCAACTTATTCTATCAATAACCCTACCAGACTGCTAATACTCTACTAACACTCTAGTGAGAGTTAGTAGAGATGTAGGTGCAATGTTACTTATAGTCAAGTGAATGTGAAGAGACCATCCAAATAAAGTGAAACCAAGATTTCTAGCAGAGGTTGTCAGGTTTTGATTTTTTATCTGTTGGTATTTGATCGAATCCATGATGCCATGTATCTGAACAAAATGTCCAGGACATCTGGCAGAAAATTAGGCCCACAGCATTAAAGATACAGCAAAGTATTTCATTTTACACATGGGGTAGGCCTACTTTTTTATCCCTGTATGAACCAAACCCATATTAAGTGTTTGCTGCCAAAAAAGCTTCTTTTTTTTTTTCTTTTTTTTTAGTCAAGATCATCAAGTCTCTTAAAATATAAGCTAAATTGACCTTTTTATCACAAGGCAAGATTAGTTCCGGTTATAAAATGTCATGTGATGTGACTCCCCAAAAATGATGACTTAATAAATTCTAATTAATAATATTTATTAATGGTATTTACATTTTTATCCAAAGCGACTTACATTGCATTTGAGGTATACATTTTTATCAGTTCTTGCTTTCCATGTGAATCAACCCATGGCCTTGGCGTTGTTATTGTTGTTGTGCATTACTGTTTGAGCTACATTATAAATGTATGATATTTGTAAAAAATAATAATAACCTTGAAAAATTGTATAATTTCTTTGCACTATTTACAAAAAGACATTTATGTACTCATCAGGTCCATAAAGATTTTGTCCCAGATCCTGTGACATCAAGTGATGGCCTTGTAGTTGTGTCATATGGTTAATGTGTTTAAGTGCTTATCATTAGCATTTTTTGTTCATGTTTTGTATGTGTGTGTTTTTTTTAAATTATTATTATTCATCAAATCATTAGGTGCGTGTTTGTCATTTTCATCTGCAGCTGTACGTTGCCTCCAGAGTTTAAATCTAAGGGTGTTTGTTGCATGACCCCACCGTTACATGTGTGTCTGCTGTGGAGTGATTGACAGCTGCCACTGACCTGTAGCAGTCAGAAAGCCATGGTAGAGGTCACCAGGTTAGACAGCGCAGCGTTGCTCTAGAGACGACCTCAGCCCCTCATCTGCATACAAGCCTTCATTAGTAGCACCACGCAGCCTGCATAACAGCACCATAAATTAATAAGGCAGCTATAGGAGAGGGTGCGGTAGAGAGCACACTTAATTAGGGCAAGGTACAGTCACATGGGCCAAATTTAAGTGTATAAAAATATTGTAGATATTCCGGAAACAAATGTGTTTGAATGTGTTTGTTTAGTGCAACAGATGCTTTTACGATAAGCTTATCTAAACTCAGATCAAATTAAATCAGAGAAACAGTCTACCTAAGTGTGAACTGTACTAGTCTTATAGGTTCTTATGGTGGCTTTTGTCAGCTGATGAACACCAAAAAAAGCAGTGAAGAAGTTTCGTTAAAATATTATAAACATTTGGAAACAAATTTGTCTACTAAGTCAAAGTCATGTGGTGCAACCACCATGCAGAAACATGTAGAGAAAAAAGGAAATGATATCATTAAGAGACCTTGCAGACCTTCATGACTGTGTGTAAAGGTCAATTAAGTCTCTTAAAATATCTTAATAATTTGGCCTTTTTGTGACATGCCAGGGTTAGTTCAGGTTATACAAGTTATGTGGTGTGACTCCTAAATAAGTACTAATTTATTAGTACTTTTTTGATGTTTCAAGATTCACACACACGGGTTTCCTGTTTACAAACATGACAGGGTGCCCAGATTGGTGAGTTGGTCCGCTACTGCAACAACCTAAAGTATTGAAGCTTTCCTTATTGTTTGTAAATAACTGCTGACTCAATAAAACGTGGATCTGTTTAGTTGGATCTGTTTGTCTGTCTTTAATTTTGCAGTGTTACTGTGATATATGTATTTATTATCATGTTATCATGTTAGGCTAGTAATGTAATAGCCAATGTTAGCAGTAAAGAAAGCCCGCATTTGCTTTTATATAAGTTACGTTACTCTTGTTTACGTTACAGACACAACCACTATGCTACTAGCCTACTACACGAAACACGTCTTTTTTCTGCCTCCCGGTTGCGTGCGCAAGCAATGATGACGTTGCCGAGAAATCCATGTATACAACACCTATTAAAGGGTTAGTTCACCCAAAAATGAAAATTGTGTCATTAATGACTCACCCTCATGTCGTTCCAAGCCCGTAAGACCTCCGTTCATCAAAGTAGTCCATGTGACATCAGTGGGTTAGTTAGAATGTTTTGAAGCATCGAAAATACATTTTGGTCCAAAAATAACAAAAACTACGACTATATTCAGCATATTCTGTTGTCAATCCGCTTCAGTGACGCTGCTGACGTGTTATCTGGTGCGCCCGAGCTTCGTTTACAGTCTGAGGGAGACGCACGCTGTAAACAAAACAATCTTCGCAAACATGTCTAAGGATTTCGACACAGAGGAAGACTTGCATTTTTTTGCCCAGCCATATTTATTTGAACCCGAATCCACGGACGCACCAGATACACGTCAGCAGCGTCTTACGTCAGCAGCGTCACTGAAGCGGATTGACAACAGAACCGGAAGAGAATACAATGCTGAATAAAGTCGTAGTTTTTGTTATTTTTGGACCAAAATGTATTTTTGATGCTTGATGTCACATGGACTACTTTGATGATGTCTTTATTTCCTTTCTGGACAAGGACAGTATACCATGTATACATTTTCAATGGAGAGACAGGACTAAATGTAAAATATCTTAAACTGTGTTCCGAAGGTCTTACGGGCTTGGAACGGCATGAGGGTGAGTCATTAATGACATAGTTTTCATTTTTGGGTGAACTAACCCATTAACTCTTTTCTATTTGAATGCATATTTATGTATTTTATAAACAAGCAAAAACTAACCATAGCTTTATTTAAATTACATGCATGTTTATACATGTACACTAATACCCAAAAGGTTTTCTTTTCATGTTTTTGAAGTCTTTTTTTTTACAACTTAAAACAAATGACATCTTTGGACTCGTCAAATTTAAACTTTTGCGAAAATTCTATAAAGTTTTTTTTTTTTTTTACATTAGAAAACCAACATGAACATGAATAGTGCATTTCCACATGCAATTCACTTTTTTTTTAATCCTTTTCTTTATATTAGACACTCGCCATCATCATGCTGATTTCTAATGATCACATTATGGTCTGTTAATCCGGTTTCCTCTTTAACCTCTGAAAAGAGAGGAAATTAGCTCAGCCGTCACAGCAAGCAAGACTCCGCCGGTGAAGATGGACAGAGTGTGAGAGGAGGCTGACTGGGCCGCAGCGGGGCTGGAGCGCTGGGATGCCCGCTGTGCTCTGGAGGAAATTCTCAGGGCAATCGATGGTAGGGATTAAGGCTGGGTTTTGGGCTCAAAGGCCTGGATCTCGGCGTTATCCTCTAGGGGAACGTTGGGAGCGCAAGTGGAGAGGCGAGGAGCTAACCTGGAACTGTCAAGTGCGCATGAAGGGCTTCTGAAAGCCAGGCAGGAAGATTCGCAGGGGCCGCTTCAATGCACGGAGCCGCTCGCGCGTGCTCACCATGCCATGGCAACCTTATTCAATATTCTATGGAAGACGGAGCTACTCAAAGTTTGAACTTGGAGAAGAAGAAAAAAAAGCAGCCTCTGAGAAGACTGGATGTGCTTAACTCACTTCTCGCTACTTGCTATAGGATCATGCCAGGCATCCATATTGATTCTGAATGGTCAATGCAATCATCTTCACTCCGCGCTCCCCGGGGTGAAACCGAACTCGACGCTTGAATTCACGACTCATTACAAAACGAGACTGAAAAAAACACATGCGCACAAGAAGACCATGGGGAAATTACAGGAGAGCTATGGTGAATCTCAGAATTAAACAGCATAATTAATCATAGCGGAAAAAAGACAGCAAGAGAGGGGGAAAAAACAACCACATTGCTAATAAACTTAATAATAATTGCATTTCTTTTCCACATCAGAAAATGCAATCAGTTCAACCATGAACTGACTAACTAATCTGCATCAGCCGTCTGCCTGTAGTCTGTCTGGCCTTCAGTGCCAAAAACCAGTGAACTGAACACATGACATGAGCACTAAATCTATCAGAGAAAGTTGATTTCCAAGAGGTAAAAAATATATAAGTTGTCTTATTTTCCCTAATCAGAACAGGAACCAAATTACACAATTTACAGTGGTCACAAAAAAATATTTGAATGGTTAAAAAATTAGCTATACCATTCAAATGATTTGGACTTTTTAAAAGACTTTTTAAAAAAGAAATTAGACCTCTACTTTAAAAAGTGATAGTAAATACATTTATAATGTTAAAAAAGGTTTCCGTTTTCCAATAAATGCTGTTCTTTTGAACTTTCTATTCATTGAAGAATCCAAAGTAAAAATGTATCATGGTTTCCACAAACATATTAAGAAGAGATGAAACGGTTTAATATCACCATTATGGTGACCAAAATGATAACGGTTATCAATATCACAGTATTATTCATATGTGCTGGAAATGTATGTTTAAAAAGTACTGATACACACACTGAAATCATTTTACCAAGTTTTATATCAAAACCCAATGAACAACAAATCAAACTAGCAGCACTCTGCACTTTTTTGTTTGCCTAACGAAGTTCAAAAGTTCAAAATCAGTATTAATGTCACTTTTATAAGCTTTTCTTTAAACCAAATGGTTTCAAGGTTAGTTTTAATGGATAAATGATGTTCTCCTCAAGTTCAGATCAACCACAGGTGTAACTTAGCTAACTTAGTTCTTCACATTACCTAGTAAGAACGTTTTCCACAAACATTTAACTACCACAATATGTATTTAAAAGTCTTTTTGTGACATTTTTTTTTACTTGACTAGTAGGCCTACATTTACAGTTTACATCATTCTTTCAAATAAATGCTATTGTCTCATGTAGGCTAACTAGCATCGGTTCTACTTTAAGTAGGCTTAAGTTACCGATACCACAATGTCCACAATAGACGCTGATCAGAATCGTCTCAGTTTTGTTTAATTTATGATAATGAGTTATAGACAGCTTACTAGTAATTAATTAACCTACCTGTCAATCAAAAAGAAGCAACGTGGTCATTCCAACTGAGGGTTTTCTCCGTCATCGGTTCTTTCAACCGACCTTCATACCGATGTTTACGCTCCTGTTTTGTGTTCGTCGGTCTTTCTTTCTTGCTTCAGACATTTTCTGCTTCTTCGGACGTACAGGTACAGATTCTCCCGTTGTCTCCGCAGGTGAAGCATAATATAATAAGTGTGTTTCGTTTGTCTAATTTTCGCATCATCAAAAACACTTCGCTACTAGCGTAGCGCGCCTAAAGACTACAGACTACAGCCAATGAGCTTTAGGATTCTCTCTGACGTTTAGTAAAACGCCGCGCGCGGCTCACGTAATTACAAGTAAAAAATAAAAACTTAATTACAAGTTATAACATGGCGAAATAACGACCGAGTAATTAAAAAAAAAAAAACATTTTAAAGACAACTATTTTGAGCTATAGCCTATGAGCTCATTAGTATTAAAGTGCTAGGGCTAATTACAGCAGTCTTCATCTCATCTAAAGGCTACCATTCAGATGATTCTTCTCAAAAACAAAATATATTCCTAAGTATTTTTTTTAAATGAGCTCTAAACTGTTGAATGCACCTTAAGGTGTCCAAATACATTTTGGGGACACTGAAAATATAATAACAATTTCCACAAATGCCAAATGAAAGTTGGTGTGCTTGAAAGAAGAAGGAAACAAAATTAAAAAAGGGAATTATATGCAGTAACTGGAAAGCAAAATAGAAAAACGAATCCAAGTCTTGGGTGTTGCTAGCTGAATTTGACTGTTTTCAGCTGATAGTGCCAGCACCATTTACAGCGGGATTCATCAATTTGACCATCAGATGATCAATAGCAGCATCCTTACTCCCAGCCCTGCCATCAATCGAGGTATCAGAATCGAAACACCCACAGTGACCCGGACAATCGATGTGTAGTCTAAGGACAAACATGGACCTGAGGAATCAGACTTATCCTGGCTGTTCTGGAAATAAGAGAGATAGCCAGGGGTTAGTAGCCTAGTTGTTTTCACACATTTTACTATTCATCACTGTTGGCCAAAACAACGTTTTTATATTTATTGTTTCAGAATTGTTTAACTAATTCAATTATGAAACGGAGTTAATAAAACGGAAAACAAATATATATAAAAAATATTTTATTTGTATGGACATTTTATATTTATGAACACAATTTTTTGTCCCCCCAGTTAAAACTTTCAGATTTAAAATCTACCTTGACCATTAGAGAGAAAGATGATTTTAGAATTTATTAGAAATTTGGAAAAGGAAAATCACAGTATTCAAATTTAAGACTGAACTTAGATGTTTAAAACCATCAGATAAATCCAAATAAGCATTTTTTTTTTTTTTTTTTTTTTTTGGTTGTTGTTGTTGTTTTTGTATCTAATCAAACGTTATTGTTTGCAGTATTACGGATAAAGTAAGAATTAGGATGCTAGTTAGAGGTGTGTTTGGGATGCTGGTATGTTGATTTCGATGCTCCACCTGTGGCGGTATGAATCGTTTGGATTCGGACGCATCTGAATTCAACACTCGGAAAGACACGGATGAGCAGCGATACGTGCCTCGACTGATCATAAGACGAACCGGACATATTTACCTTCAGACTTTGAAACTTTCCGGAAAGTGGTAGGCGAGAATTCTGATCTACCGAGACAAAATAATAATCAAACAATGAATCTTTCTATATCCTAAAAATGAGCACACGTAGGCCTATCACATAAGGACGTTTACATGAAGTGTTTAGTAATTGCATACATTATTTCTACACAGCATGTGTGTAACCTACATAGCATTTATTCTTTTAAAAACTCAAAAATGAGCTGGAACATTAAAGGATGAATATGCATCTCTAATGAAAATTACTCATCAGCGTTTACAGGTGTTGGTGTGAGTCAGAGGTCCGAATGATTCAAATGGACAGAATGTCAAAGGTCCAGTATTGAAAGTTCAACAAGCGAGACACCTAGTGGTCAGTTTCTGTCATTGCATCTGAAACTCCACACGCAACTACTGTTTAAAATGATGATGTAAATAATAAAAATGTCAAATGCAAATGTCATAGCTTACTTTTATTGTGAGAGATCTTATTAAATAAACTATTATATTATTAGATAAAATATTATCTATCATAAAAATTAACCAAGGATGAAAAGTAGCTAGATCTAAACACCGATTAGGCCTGTTTTTTTTGTTTGTTTTTTACATAAATCCTTTGACGTCATGATTTTGACTATTCTTTTCAACTAATATAGGCTACTGCATTCATTCATTTAGGAAACTTTTAAAGATTTTACTAGTTATTATTGTAAAAGAAGAAAAGTGTACTTCTCTTTTAAGAAGTTGAAATAGCCTCAAAGATAAACTATTTCAACTGTCTGATAAACACACTCTTTAAAGGTTATAACAGGGTTACCCTGAAATACTACATACTCTTCTTGGGGAACTCATTCTTTACAGCTCAGATTCCCAATGACATTTGTATAACCCTGTATGGACGACCATATTGTTCTGAAGTGAGACGTTGATCAACATACTCTGGAAAGAAAGTAGTCAATGGGGCTATGGGTGATTTATGTCAGGCATTGATATCAGTGTCCAGCTAAACAAAATTTAACAAACCATTTAAAAACATTTTATTATGCATATTTTATTATTCTTCCTCAAATGCACCAACATCACAAATTCAGACTGCATAAATAAGATATAACAATAGTAGGGTAAGACGCACATAAATAATAACGGTAAAAACATATGTATATAGCTTACAGTAGTGGCCAAAAGTGATGACCGGAGGGGATATTTGTACAATATTTGCTTTTAATGATACTTCAGGTTCTATTAAACAATCAAAATGTGAGTAGTTTGTTACATTGGGAAGAAGAAAAGACCAAACTTAGAGGATATATTAGGGATCTTGAGCCCCTGCCCCTTTCGTTAACGTTCAATTAACGTGGAACGCGTACATTAGTTTTACTCTCTCTCTCTATATATATATATATACATGCTTTAGTCATTTATTTCTATTAAATTACACATTAAGGATTTTGAATTAATTGCATGAGTTAATGCTGGCATCCCTAATATTTATGCATATTTGATCAATTTAATGCATCCTTGCGGAATAAAGTTTCTCTCTCTGTAGACATTAGTGAAAACGATTGACATGTGTACACCAACTTCTGGTGTATAGATCATTATAGTACGAGAAAGTTTTGCGGCCAAAAAGCACAGATGTAATGGAATTTATGCACATTCAGCAACTATTAAATAAAGACATGAGACAGATTTTACAAGATTGATTTATTAACTATAATACAGGTCACAGAAGGCCTTTACTGTTTATACACCATTCCCATTGAGACCAATTACCAACTCCTTGGCAAATAATGACGTTTTTTTGTTGTTGATCTAACTTCATTTATTTCATTATTTTTTCAATTCTATTTTTTTTTCTTTGTTCATTTTTTTCTTCCTTTTATAATACTGAGAGTGGTAGAGCCCTCTCCCTGACCTGGTCTTGAATCATGCACTACATCATTGTGGCCTTTACACCATTCACAAAAAAAAAAAAAAACGGTTAAAAAATGTTTTGTCTCATTTTTTAATTATTAAAAGAAAACATAAAAAGAAAATCTTTTCTATCACCATTGACTATAGGGCAAAGTGTCAGACCCCCTAACGTACAAATAAACCATTCTGAATATAGTTTTGCTCCTTTCTCCTTTAACTTAACAGACAATCTGTCACCATTGTTGAAAAAATAACATGAAACAAAAAATAAAGTGATGCAGCCAAATCTGATTGCTGAACCAATATCACATTTTTAATACACGTTTGTCATGTCGCTTTTCGTTTTTCAGGTCTCCCCTGCCCTTTTTTATTCATCTTTTTTTTTTCTTTTTTCTTTTTTTTTTGCAGTCTTTGGCTGCGAAGGACAGTTGCCTCTGAAAGAATATACATTGAAAATACACAGAGAATGCAGCATTCATACACAAAGTACCAGGGGCGTATAGGCCACACAGCTCCCGATTTCCCAAAATATACCGTTACTTCTGCTCTCTGAGGGCAAAAGATGTAGTGTTTAAGCAGAGTTTCTCATCACAGCCAATCAGAAGTCAGCGTAGATGTTGACTGACAAGTTAAAAGGGGTCAGGGCAGTTGTGGTTCACTTACTGGTTGGTGAGAGTTAACATGTATTACAGGGAGAGATATGCACAAAAATGAAGTGAAATCTGTAGTGGGATACATTCGTTTATCTCCATAAACGTGACTGATTCACAGTTTCACAATGTCTGTTCCACTTGAAAACCATGTTCAAATCAACACAAAAGTCATAGAAAATGATCTAATTTGGAGCGAGTAAACAAGGTATAAGTGCAGAGGAATATTGTTAGAAACCATTCCTTGAATGCCAACTGATTTCTGCTTTTTTTTAGTCTTTCTTTTGCTACATAGTGAATCTGTGACTTTAAATGCATCCAGCATTTTCTAGTAAAACAAACAAAAATGTAGCATTAGAACGAAAACGAGCTGAGATTTACGATGCAATACCTGCTTTGTCCACTGGGTGGTAGTGTTGTGCTCCAAGAGCCGACAAAGGGAAAAGTCTAGTCACAAGCCACCAACGTTAACTTTCCTGTTTCCATGTCCGCGTTTTCTTCCGCTAATCTTTCTTTTTAAAACTTTGGGGATTTTATAAACAATGTCATCCTTCCGAGGTCAACTCAGAAGTACAGATATTTAGTTAGTCTTGAAAAAGCCACAAACTGCAAGCTCATATTCAGCATAAAATCGGCCTCTCTGATATCAAACACTAAAGACTTTATCTTTCCTGAAAGCAATTATTTCCATCCAGCTATACCACTATCGTCTCTATCTTCCTCCTCTAGGCTTCCAGTTCACTGACACGCTGCCATCTGAATAGGTACAGATAGACAGCGTCTCCTCTAGTGCAAACTTTCCTTTACCTTCCATAACTCACATTGTGAGGTAACTCTTGATTTAGTGCATACCTCCCCTCCAAATGCAGGTGGACCACAACCTAACCCATCCTTAAAAGTCACCGCTCAATTCATTTGCACAAAAATAGTCCACAAATCTAACATGAGCTAGAAGGGAGGGACTTCCTGCAAACGTGTAATAAGAAAAATAACACAGCTCCCAAATGAACAGACACTGAACAAAGTCGAAGACCCCCGTGGAACAGGAAATCGAGGGTTGTGAGGACACTCTGCAATAAAAGAAGCATTAGTCTTCCAGCATGTTCTGGACGCTCATGTGACAAGAGATACAGGCGAGGAAAAGACTTCAAATCCCAGAATGCTGTGCAAAAGCATTCCACACACATCCATCCCAGCAAAACTAGATCCAGTTAGTCAAGTTCTAGTTTTGTCTTGATTTTTGTCCCACTGTAAAAGGTTGTTACAAGCGAAACGAGATAAATAAGGGGTAGGAATGTGGTTGTGTTGCTGCATCAGAAAAAAGCATTTCTATTTCGTAATTTGATAGTAACAATGGTCGAAAGCTGAATGAATATATAGGCCACCCTGTTGGCCCGCTTAACCTTAATCATACTAGGTTGCGTACAGTGGTCACCCGAATACGAGGTGGGGTTCAGCCAGTTTGTTCATGCAACCCATTGGCTGACAAAAACAACGCTGAACCAGCAAGAGTGCGCCATCTACGTCACATGGACCCATAAGAAATCGGAGTTTGGGGGTACCACACTTCATGTGCAGTTATGTGTGTGTGTGAGGAGCATAAAGGGACAGAGCGCCGCTGCAATTTATGGAGAAGCATGATGCAGAAAGGGGGCGAGGAAGTGTGGTCGACGCAGCTCATGGACTCTTGACCTCTCCTAAGTCAGGCACAGCCGTGCAATCTCCTCGAAAATTTCTCCCATTCAATTAATCTCATTCAGTGCTCCCCAAGTTCTCCTCCTCGTCTGCAGGTTCACAGCGTGTGTTGTTCCGTAGGGGTGTGATGCGGGTGGAGTGGAGGGAGCAGGCTCTGGATTGGGGATTGAGGGGTGTGTGGTGGGGAATGAGGCGGGGACTGTTGGCCGTGGCTGAAGGGTGGAGCTATGGGGTGTAGTGGGGCGTAACAGGCGGAGTAGGCAGAGCTTGGTATGGACGAGGCAGAAGACAAGGTGGTGCTAGGAGAGGCGGGCTGTCCGGGGAGGCCGCTGGGTGTGTCGGCCAAGGCTTGATTGTAGAGGAAGAAAGCACACTGGTGGATAAAGGTCTCGATGATTGTCTGGTAGGTGCGTGTGGCCGTCAGCGCGTCCATGGTGGTGAAATCGGGCCGCATTAGCGTCGGCCAGAAACAGATGGACAAATTCTCGCTGGTCATCAGGTTCAGGCGGTGGTTTTGACTCACCCTGAAAGACAGAGAGAAACGGTGAGAATGGAAAACGTTTGTGCGAGCGAGTTTGATCGTGTGTTGCCCTAGGGATGGCTCCCATTCTCACTTGTTCAGGTGAGTGATGACGTATTTGAAGAGGTCGTAGTTTTCTCGAGGGAATCTGCGGAGCACGTCCTTCATGGTGTGGAGACGATGCTCTCGATCATTGATTTCTGCAGGGGGCCGAGAGGGAACACAGAATGAGACACAAACACATTTATTTTCTTCATGCTTCACAGGTGTTCACTTGTCCCACAACACACAAATAGTTTGAGGGCGACGAGACACACACACACGAGTTAGTCTTGACAATGGCTTTAATGTTTAAAGACCATCAAGACCAGAACAGTCTGTTTAATGTTCTTTCTGGAACAATTGCAAACATCATCTCCTATTAGTTTCTGTAAGGCAATAAAGGCACAAATCCCATGTTTTTTAGAGAAAGAATGAGTAGATATGTTTTGAATTATTAACAATTGACCATAAACATATCTAGCCATGTCACACACTAACGATTTCATCCCAGTTTCCATAATATTTCCACTAATGAAGCTTTTAGTTTCATTACATTTTATGCATTTTGGAATCAACAATTAAGACCCTTTCTATGGCATGGCGGCCGGGAATATAAGTAAAAAAGCATATTTCATTTTCAACATTTTTACACAAATTGCAGATTTCACAGCATTCGCCAAGCTGTTTCCTAAAACACTGTCTACATTTGGCTTTGGGACCTCAGATTGCTTAGAAGCAATGCTTGAGGAAGTAATTCAGGAATAATGAGTTCTAATATGCACAAAGGAAGCAACATGCTCCACCTAAATCAATAAACAACAACTCTAGGGAGGAGTAACAGTGAAAAGGTGTGTGTGTGTGTGTGTGTGTGTGTGTGTGTGTGTACTAGACTTCCCATCAGTCTCATCTGGGGTGACTGAGGGATTGTTAAATGAAGCACAGTGTGTCACACACACAAACAGTACATGTACAGAAATAATTGTGTAGTGTGTGCAGTCACACACAGACACACACACACCCTGGGTGCAGCGAGCTTGATGGTTGCGGTGAGTCAGAACGGCTTACATCAGCCCTTAACGCTGTGAGCCCTGTGTTAGAACATGTGACCACTACGGCAGATGTGTTCCTCCCTGGTCACACACACACTCTGATGTCAGCATTACACACTCTCACACATCAGCATTATGCATTGTGGCCCCAGATGCAGAATTACTGCAGTAACTACAAGGAAAATGTGCAAAACCACCATGATGCCAGAGCGTTGCTATATGGTTGCTAATAAGGCTGCACAAAAAAAAAACAAAAAAAAACATTTCACTCGATGACTTGAATAGCTCTATTTTTGGAAAGAATTAATAATTCTAGAATAGATTCCAAACAGAATAAAATATTTAAAAAATTACGAAAACAAGCTTAAAAATTATATTTACTCTCAAGACTTTTTTGTGAATGCAAATTAGGGCAGCACGATTATGACGATCATAATTGTCGATTATTTCCCTTGATATTATAATTGCGATTACTAATGTTGATTAATAAGATTTACATAAAAATACTCTTTTATATATAGACTATACATCCAAACCGGTTCAAAGAGGGCACCATTAAAAAGCAGTAAAACTGACGGACATAGTAAATGCATACTTACATTTTTATAAATGCATTATAAATCTGTATGCTCAGTTTGTGCATGCGCCTTGAATTATTATGCATTAATTAGTTGGTCCACAATGAAGACCGATTATTCAGAATGATATCTATCGATGCCGCTAGTTTGATTTTCTTAAGAAAGAAAATCTCTCCCAACTAATGCGGTAAACTATAAAGAGAACCATCTCATTTGGTACATTATGATAATATTAGAGGTTAAAATTAACAACAGAGCCCAAACTATTCAATTCAACTGCTATTTATTTTTCAGATATAATAATTACACACTCAAATAAAAACTCAAATGTTTGTAAACAACTCAGTTGCACATAGATAAGGTAGTTTTCATAAACGCTTGTCTTCGTGACAAACTTATACAAAGATACATTTATAATTAACACTATACAAGCTCCTCTCTATTTATAGGTAACTAACAAACGGTGAACACTGGAAAACTCTCCTGAGATAAATGCAACGTTAAGCGACATTGTTATTGGCGTCTTTCCGGAGTTGAAACACAGATTGAGCGATTACATGAGACATGATCCTTTTCAGCAAGTTGTCCTGTATCTTTCGACACACATTAATAACTTTTAATGTTCATGCCTGTTTTTTCATGCTATAACGTAGTAAAGTGGAAGAAAAGACTCGCTCCATGCTGCCACTTGAACTGAGGCCCTACAGCAATCTGTCAAGTCACATTTAAGAGTGTCAAAACGCCATTTATTGTTTGGATTTAGTGATAAAAATTGACATAATTTGAAAGCTAAGACTGTTTCTTATCAGAAGTAAACCACAACGCTCTTTGCGATTAGTGGATGGGAGGCGTTCTACAAATAATGGACCTGGCAAACTACGGGTGATTCATAGAGCCTGCTTTAACGTCACTATTTTTTTTAACTGTTAATGTGTTAATTTTGCTTTAACTTTGACAGCACTAAATTCAACACAAGAGAAATTTCCTTCACACAGTACGAGTTGCAGTTTTTCTGCTCCAAGGATATAATCTGCCATGATCAATGGCTGTTTTTAAACAATCAATGGTGAAAATAATTGCTTTTAATCAGCCGATACAGATTATTGGCCGATACATCGGTGCATCCCTACTTTATAAGGCTATGCTTTTAGCTGTACGCATATGCTAAGTGCTCCCATCAAAACTGAAGTAAACTTTGGGCTTAATACTCAGCATTAGGTATTTGAACAAAATCTTGACGTCAAGTACTAGCAGTAGGTGCAGTGATGTCGAAACATCAGTATTAAAACCTACCTAGACGTTGTTGATTTGAGACTGAATATGCAAATATCATCTAATCAATCAGAATAAATATCCGAAGCCACTGGCAATCAAAAAAAGCATTAATTCAATATCCCGTCGAGACGTATAATAGATGGCAGAACAACAAAGCAAAAGAATATTCAGAAGGCCTTAAAGAAGTGCAGGTGCTTCCTGTGCTTTAGAGACTAAAACAGAACAAGCCTGTTGGGCTGTTGCCACGGCGTCCAGTGACAGACGGACAAGAGCAAAGCCCCGCCCACCACCTGTGGAGAGTGACACGGCAGTCATGTGACCTGCCGTCTGTCCTCTCCCTCCTCACTCTTACTCTCAATGTTCCTGCATTAAACCAATCTTATAGTTTGGGCTTAAACTACTTAAAAGGAGTTTGCTAAGGAAAGCATCACTATTACTGAATATTGCAAGTATTTATTGTATGTTTAGGAGTTTGTTCAAATCCACTGAACGAACCCCACCTAAAAATGAAGGTTCGTTATCATTTGCTCACCCTCATCTTCTGCAGAACATAAAATATAGGATTTTGGATATAGGATTAGGATTTTGAAGAAAAAGTTTTGGTTACCATTGTCTTCCGTTGTATAGACAAAACAAACCCTGACATTTTTAATTTTGGGGGAAATATCCCTTTAATCTTTGGCATTTAACATGTCCAGCACATCAAAAACCAGTTAGATCACATTAGCAACCAAACAGCAACGTTTAGGCAATCATCCACAACACTCCATAGCATTACGCAATTATCCCCTCATATTTTCATCAGAAAACGTACAAATCAAAAAAAAAAGTATAATTCTTTGCGGCTCGAATTTTGGTCTCTAATTATGTTGGCATTTGACAGATTCAATGCACACACACACACACACACACACACACACACACACAAAAAAATGCAACTGACTATGATTATTTTCTATGTATACCAAATTTCTAAACCAATCTTTTAATTACATACCAAAATATCACTTGCAAATTGAGTGACACGACATCATGATTGGATACTAAATGTATCTTTTGTGTTATACTACACCAGTGCAGGTTTGGGTGGTGCGATTAGTTTTCTGCTGATTCAGGCCAGCCGTTTGTGAAACTATTTAAAGCATGGTAGTACTTGAGAGGGCTTGTTTATTGAGAAACAGTCTGGAGTGTAAGACTAACGGCAATCTTATGCTTAAGTCTCGTCACTTTGGGTTGGAGCAATGCCCGGAGTAGACAATGTATGAACTTCACACTGAGAGAGTGAGTGTGTTTGTGTAAAGTAGTCTAAAATGCCGCAACAGGAAAACGCACTCAGTCCATTTCTGCCAGCATGTTTCTTAGAGTAGATCCTATTCTACTCACTGGTTTATCCCTTGTTTTTCTTTTTCTCCCTCTAACAAGAGCTTTCTACTCACAGCGGGTTCACCAGAGGAGATCTCCAGAGCACACTAACCTCCGAGGACTACAACCAAGCATATTGTTTTCTGACAGTAAACATCTGGCCATGGAAAATCTTCCCTGTATCAGTGTTTGCATTGATTGTGAGAGTCTACATGTACAGACCTATGAAGGGTGAAGTCGTGGCCTAATGGTTAGAGAGCAAGAGACTGGTTAGTTAATCTCTAGTTAGATTAGCCGAAGGTTGCGGGTTCGATTCTCAATACCGGCAGGAAATGACTGAGGTGACCTTGAGCAAGGCACCTAAAAATGTCTGCCCACAGTCAGTTCTGGGTGTGTGTGTCCACGGTTTGCAGTGTGTGTGTGTGTGTTCATTACTCACAGCTCCTAATGTGTATGCACTAACTTGGATGGGTTAAATGCAGAGGACAAATTCCAAGCATGGGTTACCATACTTGGCCTTAATGTCATGTCACTTTCACTTTTATCTGCTCTCTCTCGTGTTGATACTCACTGAAGGCCTCCACCAGCTCCACCTGCATACTGTAGGGTACCAGAGGATCGGGCAGCTCCGAGAAGAAGCTCTTCATTGCTCCAGCCACTGTGTTCACAGACAAGTCCTTCTCGATCAGGTCAATGTTAGGGTCTATAATGTAGAGAAACAAAGAGAGACTTTGGTTAGACTTTCAAATGGAACTTGGTGAATCACTGCAGCTTCTCAAGTTACTTGCAATTTAAAGTAGTTAAATTACAGTCAAGCTAAAAAAAAAAGTCCACCCTGATCATTCTCAGGGTGTGACCAGCTAAGTGAACATTATCTCTCATATGGGTGTTTCTTTTTTATGTGCCAGGGGTCGATTTTTATTAAAACTAACAGATTTCAGCGGTTTTTCTTTCAGTGTGTTATATGATCACATTAAACATCTTATATACCTATGCATAAAAGCCACGTGAATGTTTTTGTTACTTTTCACACTTCACACAGATTTTATTGTTTTATCCTTGTACCAGACATTCAGTCAAAAACTGTGCTAATCAGACATAAATTATCAGTTAAACTATGATAATTTAAAGAAAAAGTGTAATAAACCAATCTTTTCAATATTCACTGTGTGATTTACACTACCATTCAAAAGCTACCAATCATATATATTATTAAAGTATTTTGAAAGTAGTCTCATATGCTCTTCAAGACTGCATTTATTTGATCAAACATACAGTAAAAACCGTAATAATATGAAATATTATTGCAATTTAAAATAAATGTTTTCTATATTTCAAAATGTATTTTTTTTCATGTGTTCAAAGCTGGATTTTCAGCATCATTACTCCAGTCTTCAGTGTCACATGATCCTTCAGGAATCATATACATCTGCTGATTTGCTGCTCAAGAAACGTATCAATGTTGAAAACAGTATTTTTGTGGAAACATTTTGATTTTGATCAGGATTCTTTGATGAAAAGAAGGTTCTAAAGAACAGTATTGATTTTCATCAGTACAGTACAAATTTTATCATCACTTTTGATTAATATAATGTATCCTTGCTAAATAAAAGTATTACGGGAAAAAACTGCATGTGTATAATATGTATAATTGACTTGGTATGGTTTATTAGGTAAAACAGTTTGTAAACTTGCAGTTTATTTGCCTAGCAGGGAGAAAAACAGCATCAGTGAACAGCTTGAGATGAATATTAGCAATCAAGATGAATGTCATTGGTGCAGAATGTTGTGCATCATTTCCAATTAAGCTATGCAAGTTATGCAAAAAAAAAATGTGAATGTTTTTAATTGTGTTTATTTATAATTAAATGCTAGCTATTAAATTAGCCTTAGAAAGACAAAGGAGTCATTTTCTTCCAAAAAAAATTATAGTGGCATTTCAATCACAGAATGCATTTTAACAATAGATTTGGATTTTATTACTATCAAAAAAACTTATGAAAATGGGAAAACGTCTAACAAAAAAGTTATCAGGGCCAAAAGTGCCAATATTTGAAGAAACACTCATATATTTATAGATGTGACCAGCACCATCATTTTGAGTCACTCTGAGCCCGAGATACATTATGGACTCAAAGTCCCAGGAATCAGTCCCATCTTTTCCAACTCTAGCGAAGCCCATGCGTCCCAGCCAAGTAACTGCCATTGAGATGAATGTAAAGGCAAATGGACACATTTCTCTAGGTATTATAAAAGTACTTGATCTGAATTAAATGTAAACAGTCTGTTTCTTAAAATCAGAGGGATCAAGGACACAGGACCATATGAGCATCTTTTACAGTCAGCTTCTTCCAAAATGCAGCTCCGTCATTCACACAACGCGTCTTCCTGAAATCTTCTGTCCCTAAAATCACTCTTGCTGTCTGGAAGCATCTTTTAATCTCTCGGCTGATCCTGGGTATCTCATTGGAGAATATGTGCTTAGCGTGCAGGTGCGAAATTGGTGCATGGGAGAGGGTGAGAGGTTATGAGATTCAAACAAAACAAGCGATGATTAAAACAACAAAACAATTTAGACCAATATGATGAAGAGATAAAGCTATAAAACATTCCCCGTTTCACTCATGCGCATTACTATTGTAATCTTTCAGTCTAGCGTGTTAAATCCAGTTGACCCCAGATCAGTTACTCTATACATCCTGATTGTATTTTATCAGAGATCGATAATGGCTGCGTAGCCCCTGATTGTGAAGCGTCTGACATTTCTCCACCTGCTCACTGGAGTTGTCTGAGATGCTGTCGAGCACATACCTGCACAGTAATTTCCACTGTAATTGTATTGTCACCTGGCTGTGCGGGGTTCTGATCGATTAGACACGAGCCTTCGCCTTCTATTAGCTCATGCCGATCCGAACCGGGCCCGACCAGATCAGTGGAGCGTGTGCGCTCGCGGTTCATTACCCAAACCAATCTGCTGGTAATTAACTGACCTTCTCTTCCGGCGCAAACACCCAAACACACACACACACACACACGATGTCCTGTAGTGACACACACACCGACATGCATCCACAATCAAGAGATTTGTCTATGTCTATTAGCTTTTAAAAAAAAGAAATAACCTTCTAAAAATAAAGTATTTATAAAAATTAATAAATTAATATATTATATTATATCCATATTACTGTGTTCTATTGTAAAATCTATATTTTAAATATTATTTTAAAATCTATTACAATATTTTAAAATGTAATTTACTCTTGTGAAGCAAAGCTGAATTTTTAGCATCATTACTCCAGTCTTCAGTGTCACGTGATCTTTCAGAAATCATTGTAATATGCTGATTTGCGGTCCAAAAAACGTTGATGATAATTAAATATCATGGATTTCAGGATTCTTTGATGAATAGAAAGTTCAAACGAACAGCATTTATTTGAAATAGAAATCTTTTGTAACATTATAAATGTCTTTACTGTCCCTTTTGATCAATGTAATGTGTCCTGAATAAAAGTATTAGGTAACCCTTTAGTTTAGGGTTCAATTCTCACTATAACTAGTTGCTTATTAGCATGCATATTACTAGTATATTGGCTGTTTATCAGTGCTTATAAAGCACATATTAACGCCTTATTCTGCATGAACATTCTACATCCCTTAATCTTACCTAATACCTAAACGTAACTACTTCCTTAATAACTATTAATAAGCAGTAATTAGGAGTTTGAGGCAAAAGTCATAGTTAATAGTGAGAATAGGACCCTAAATTTATAATCATTAGCCGCGTTTCCACTGCCGGGCCAGGGCCGGGCCAGGGCTAACAGCGAGCTGAGCCGAGCCAGTGGCCTCGGGCCTCAAGCACCGGGCTTGCGTTTCCACTGCCGGGCCAGTAGCCCCGCAGCGCTACCCTAAACCCCGCCCCTAACACGCCTTTCTGGATCAAACGTCCCATTTCAGCGGGTATTATGAATTTATTTATTTTTTAAGGTAGGAAGATCGCATGTATATTAACTCACCGGCCGTGGCTGCAATAGTGTCCAGATTGTCTCGCGAGTCGCCACTAACAGAGGGACGGTGACCCAGCACACTGTCCATCAAGTCGAACCATGGAATTTGGAAAGGTCCTTTTCTGAGCTCCGCTTTGTCCATTGTGCGTTTGAATCGCTTTGTACAATACTGCGCCCGCAACTTTTTTTTTTCCTGAACTTGAAGCGTTGCTCGCTGAATGCTTAGCTTAGAAAGTTCAGCATCGATGTATTTTATAACGTCTTCGTTTCTTCACACACCATCAAATTGACGTTGAACCCTTTCTTCTGCCCAAATGCTCAGAAGAGCTTTGGTATCTTCGACAGACCAGTACAGGCGATTCACCATTTCGAGCAGCGATTATTTTGCGCGATATAAAAAAAGTAAAATGTGCATCTTGCTTCAGATCATAACGTTCCATAACACCGATAAACTCCGCCTTTTACCTTGACCACGCCTCTAGCCCGAGCTGGCCCGCTTTGGCCCAAGGTATTCGACGAGTAGGCCCCGAGTAGGCCCCGATCAAGCCCCGGAAGTGACAGTGGAAACGCGACTGGCTCTGGCACGCACTAGCACGGCTCGGCCCTGGCCCGGCAGTGGAAACGCGTCTATTGACTCCAAACTTTTAAAATGGTAGTATATATTGTACATGACATTACATTGTTCTATTATAGTATATTACACACACACACACATATATATATATATATATATACACAAGCCACGACTTAACAAGCAAAAACAGACGCTGTGCTGCCTCTTCTCAAGTATGCACATAATACAAGCATACTCTATGCGCTCTGACATTATGCTTTCGTAATGGCCCTCGGTGGGCACTGCAGGATCAATAGCTGTGGATCAGTCCTGGTTAATTGAGCTTATCTGCTCTACAATGCGCTCATTGACGGAAATGTGATCCATGCACCGAGGAATAGCAGCCATTTCTTTGAAAGCAGCGAGGTCAGTCGGGTCTACAATGACTGGTCGCACTCAAACTTTTCCCCAAGGCAAATATGAGTAACAGAGTTCTGCATGTACTATGATATCCATGAGATGTCTTTAGATTATGCTGCTACAACAGCAGGGTAATGTGAGAGTGTGGATGTTAATGGGGGCCAGACAAGCAGAAAAAGAGAGGGAAAGAGAGAAGGAAGGTGGAGGGTGTCATTGATTATAGTTTGGTAATGTTCTTAGCTTCACTAGATTTAAGTTAGCGAAGCAATTTTGAGTCATTTGAGCACTTTCTTTGCAGTAACAATGAAAGTATCAAACAGCACCATGGTATTACAATGGTTTATGGACATGTACCATATTATTTTGATGTACTGTGTAAATCATACATATTATGATGTAATATCACATTATACATCAAAGAAACATAGTATTACCCTCTAGTATTACACAAAACTCAAAAAGACTTTTATGTGGAACTGAGTGCCCATGAGATGGTAACCAAGCAACAGATTTTCTCAGAATTGTGTGATATAAACTCACACATGCAAGTTATAAAAGTACAGATTGCAAGATATAAACACTAAATTTAGAGGGAAAAAAAAGTCTTATTTTTTAATTCCGTGGCAGAAACAAGCTTCCATACTTATTAGATTAGTATAGTGGAGAGTGGACAGGAAGTCCTGGCACATTTTGTTCTTAGCCTCGATGATATGTAGCACTGCAAGGATATTTTGTATCTTAGCCCTCCTTTTTGCTCTTTTAATCACATAACTTCTACATCTACATTCCACTTCTGTTATCACGAAACCCACGGCATACAACAAAAACACAGCTCCGAAAACACGCTGTATAGTTGGTACTACATTTGGTTTGAAATTTGCTTTGTGACCATTATACATTAAAAAAAAAAAAAAAAAAAAAAAAAAAAAAAAAAAGAGTATATCCTATACACTATTAATGAAATTCGCAATGACTACATTCGTTATGTTGTAGCTGTCATGTGGCCAACGGCATCAGTTGTGTCGCTTTGCTATTCACTTCTCCTCTCCACATAGTAAAGAGTTCATCGAATGCTTACTTCGAAATTCTGACATACTCATTTTTCACCTACTATATAGTACGGAAGTAGGCATTCTTCTTTTTTTTGTTTTATGGCGGGTATCAACCAGCTTTAAGGTGCAACACTGCCACCTACTGTTTTGGAGTTTCAATCACATAGTTACTGGTGCTGGATTATTTACGATGTTATCACATACAGTAATAACTCTTTCCCCGCCATTGACGGAAATTTGCGGCTTTCTGTGTTTTCACTGTTGTACGATAGGGAACGCTATTACACATCTTCTGAAAGAATACAGAATCTAGAGTACAGAATTAAAAGACAAGCAAAGAAGCAGAAACAAGCAAAAACATGTAAGCAGATGCATAAGTAAAATAACGTGATCATCAACATTAAACCACATTTAAATCAAAACTGTCTAATGTTACTGAATGAAATGTCGACCCAGGATGAGCTATAGGACTGTGAAGCTTTGAGGGTGTTGATGGACTCGATCTACTCCATCTATGTTTTGATCGTAGTTCTGAATCCCATCCAGACGTAGTCTTTGACAAAAATGTTTTTTTATCAGCTTTTTGCTTAAAATGTTTTTTATGAAACCTGCCCACATTCAAGTATTGATAAAACAAGAATGCATTAAGCTAGAATAAAATGTTTTTTGCTGTTGTGTAAAAGCAGAGGGTCTGTTCTTTCTTTTGATATTATGCATATTCAGATATTCATACAAAATATTCTCGGGGCCCATGACATTTTTGTGAAAATTATCAAAATTGCTGGAGGTGGCAATTTTTTTTTTTTTTTTTTATAAAAGAATTAAGTTTTGTGCTATTTATATATATTTGTCATGCCAACAAAGCACACTAAACACAAACTGAAAAAAAGAGAGATTGAAAGAAAAAGTTAAAGAGACAAGTCATGTGACTCACCCTGGTCAAACTGCCGCTGCATGCTTTCCATCTCCGCCTTATTTCCACTAACCCTGTAGATTCCCTCTGTGCTCAACCCTGTGGGAGAGAGAGTTGACATTAATAAATGAGTTTTGCACTCCATTCAATTTACACAGTCTCAGAGTTTGATAAGAGCCACAATGGCGTTATCTCCAGCTCAGAATGTACAATGAATTTCACATATTTAATTTATATCTGAGGTTGCTAATTGTGCAACCACACTCCGACTGTCAGATCTTCACTCTTTGACTTATCAGTCATACATAAAGAATGAGCGCTGCCACGGGCAGAGAGGAGCTTGTGTCTTGTGCCCCGCAGATGCCAGAGGACGGCTCAGCTTGGCCCATCTCACACAAGCAGAGAGAAAACAAGTACATCGATAAAGAGTAAGACAGCGCGAGACGCAGAGAGACACTCTCGGAAATGAGTCGGCGCGTTGCCGAGGCAGACCGCATTGATTGCCTCACCTCTCCCGATCAATTATCCATAAAAGCTTTTCTGTAGAGCTGCAAGAAGGGAAATGTGTGTAAAGAGGGAAGGGTGTGTTTACGGCAGAATATGAGAACATGGGGGGAAAAGAAAAGAGGCGAGAAAAGGGCCGTAAAACTCATGAAAGATCAACTTTCATACTATGTTATAGATTTTTGCTGATCACAAAATTCTACTTTTTACATCTAAAAATGCCGCAATGCACCTGGGACTGGTTGCAAGTAGCCTAGTTTTGACGAAAATGGGCACTAAGTTACAACTTACGCACTAATAAATATTGCACCGTTTTTTTACACCATTAAACTTAGTTGAAGCATACTGCGTATAAACTAAATATTTACGAAATCCTCCCATCAGGAGTAACGGTTGGAATAAAATAGCAGACTGACTGAACTGCATCAATAAGCTCTTGTTTTACCTGACAGACTTCAATAATTTAGACATGTATGATAATGCTGCTGGCATTTACACTCGCTTACATTTTAAGAGAGAGAATATCATGTGAATATATTACTTTGTTAGTGGCTCTTCAACACGAACCCGTCTAAACAGAGCGCCGCTGTGTGCAATCGTCCGGGTTGTGCTTGTCAAATAAAATCATAATAAATAAATGTAATTGTATCAGGATTTAATCAATATTAAATCCTGACTGTATATCAGGATTTAATATTTATTGATCCTTATTAAATTTCAAATACAGTTTCTGTATGTCATTTATATACAAAAATATAAAATACGAAAATCCTGATTAGGTATGCATTATATTTAATGGAAACTTATTTTTACTTATGTGAGGCAAAAGTAGTTAGAATGAAGGATAAACTGAAATTCAAGGCATTTCAACACAACTTAAAGGCTGCTATTGGATCGCTAAGGGTAAACGTCATTTACAACACATTACTTTAAGAAGAGTTTACGACCTACGCTCTGCATTAAGAACAAATGGTGCAATCGAATAAAGTACAGTTATTTACAATCTAGATAGAAGTTACTAAGCCTCTAGGGTGTGGACTCTACGTTACAATTTAAGAAAGAACTTATAAATGCACTAATTTATAAACCCACTGCTGGTCTACCAATCATTCCAAGGCCTATTTAAGGAAAACAAAAGAAATTGTGATATACAACTAAAATCAAAATATATAGAGAGACTGTTACAACAACAGTTTAACATGAGAGAAAACCATTCACAAGGCATGAAGCACACATACATGTTAAATTTTGTGACAACATAAAAGTGGCCCATTAATGGCAAGTGACAGTTTCATCAGCTGGTCTGAAATTCTCACTCTGTCCCCAGGCTACTAGATCAACCTTATTGAAAAGCCCTGAATGTGCTTTTTATTACCAGTAGGCTAATGTATCTATGTGCTTCACAACTTGCAAGAATAGAAACTCGCATGTTTCGATGATTTAAGGGCAAGTTGATCAAAATGACCAAACTACATTCAGATGAGCTTTCCAAGTATCCATACATAACAGAAGCCACAGGAATATTTGAGGGAGAAAGGAAACATCCTCTGAAGGACAGTCAAGGACAATACAAGGAAGTCACCATATTTCCAGTTTATTATATAATTTTTCTCATGCCTTTAAATGTCCATCCCTCTCAATCTTTTGGCCTTCGTACTGAACATCCAGTCCATTAGCAACGTCAAAGAGAGCATCATGTTAAGACATTTTAAGAAACGGAGAGCACTTTGAGCCTCATGGGCTTCTCTAACTGAGACTCACCATGACCTTTTTGCTTCAAGCCCTACTAATGCACAGCTAACCCCGCAACATGTCCAAACAAACTCCTGCCGCTTCCTGCCATCATCTTCAGCATATCCTCCGGGGGCCAGTTTCAGCCAATTCAGCATTTCTCCTCCTCCAACGGCTGTCACATTCCCTGCTATATTCCCTCTCTAGAACTACAACTATTTCTACTGTACATAATGAGAATTATATTAAAAATAGGGTCTCCTAAGTTACCTGTGGGCTGAGACTATATACTGTATTTCCTGTTCCTATACTCTATCTGGACTAATTCTGGAACGGGTGCTGTCAACGCTCAGGTTTTTGTGGTAAACCTCATGGTCCTTAAACACCCAACACTCATTTTGCATACCATCCCATTGCAACAGTGAGAAAAGGACTGACAGATAAGAGAAGGATAGAAGAGATAAAGAGGAAAGAGAAGTTAAATGTTGAGATGTAAGTGAGAGACAGATTTACCTAGAAGAATGAACAGGAAATGAGAGGAACAATAGAGGAATGCAAGTATTTTTGGTCCAGAGGGCAGAACGGAAAGGACAGAAATTGGATCCCTATAGAAACTATATAAAAGTGAGGTTATGTAACAGGCTGTGACTGTGCATTCATTTCTGCCCCATCAAACACAAGAAGAAATAGGAGAAAAGGATGTGAATCCTTCTCCATAAATAAATAAACTTGGTCATTTTAGAACTTGACAACCCAGCCGTACACTTTATAATACTGAAAAGAGTGGGTCGGATATTCTTCAAAAACTCCCCTTCTTTGTTACAAAGAATGAAAAACAGGTTTGAAACGATATGAGGGTGAATAAATAATGCAGAATTAGTGGATGGTTTTTGGATGAACTATGCTTTGAAAAAAATAAGTGATTTAGACTAGGCATGCACTAGTTTTTCCAAAGACATTATTTCTTTTATTCAGCAAGGATGCATTGAACTGATCAAAAGTGACAGTAAAAACATTGATAATATAATAAAAGATTTCCATTTCAAATAAATGCTGTTCTTTTGAACTTTCTATTCATCAAAGAATCCTGAAAAAGTGTATCAACATTTCCACAAAAATATTAAGCAGCACAACTGTTGTCAACATTGATAAGAAGAAGAAATGTTTCTTGAGCAGCAAATTAGCAATATTAGAATAATTTCTGAAGGATTATGTGACTGAAGACTGGAGTAAAGATGCTTGAAATTCAGCTTTGATAACTATTAACACATTTTAAAATGTTATTTATTCCTGAGTTAATTTATTAACAAATTTTGCAGTGATTTTGATTAAATAAATGCAGCCTTGGTGAGCATAAGAGACAACCAATCCCAAAATTCTGAAAAGTGTTCTTTGATAATTGGTTAGTCAACATTGGTTTGAACAGCTAGTCGTTCTTAAAGGGATAGTTCGCCCAAAAATGACAATTCTGTCATCATTTACTCACCCTCAAGTTGTTCCAGCCTGTCTATATACTTAATTTCTTCTGCTGAACACAAAATACGATATTTTGAAGAATGCCAGTAACTAACCGAACAGCTGTGGAGCACCATTGACTTTTTTTTCCCAATACTATGGAAGTCAATGGTGCCCCACAACGGTTTAGTTACAAACATTCTTTAAAATGTCTTATTTTGTGTTCAGCAGACGAAAGAAATTCATACAGGTTTGGAACAACTTGAGGGTGAGTTAATGATGACAAAATTTTCATTTTGGGTGAACTATCCCTTTAAGTAAACCTATATAATTAGGCATGTTGTTTTAGGCAAGTCCAGGCTCCCAAGCAATCTGAACTTGCAGACATCCACAAAAAGCTCATCAGAATTTGCATGTCATTCACATAACTCATCTTCACATAGCCTTCCACTTGTGATTTAATTAATATTTGTACTTATTTGATGATGCTTGAAGCTATAAACTAATACGGTTTATAAACTAATATATAAACAAACAATCTAAATAGCTGACCTTATAAACCAACTAGTTGGTTTTTACATGACCACCGTGGCGTGACCCATCCCTAATTTATACAGCTAAATGTAATTTTAGATTTTACGAAGCAGTGAAAGACACAGTGTTGCTATATGTACAAGACTGAGCCGGCATGACTAAGCAGATCTTAAGCGCTGCTGTTAGCAGGGACTTGCTTGACATGTCAAACTGACATTTTTCTACAAAAATCTTTGTAAAAGCAATTCGGTGTGATTCTGATAAGGTTGTGAGGTTGTATTGTTTTGATGGGTAAGGTACTTTGAGTGAGCGAGTGCATATTCTCTTGTGTTCACACTGAGAGTACTATCAGCAAATCACGCTGTAGGCTGTTGTAAAAGGCAGTTCCACCCACAGAGCACAAAAAAAGAGCTGAGCCTGAAAGATTGTTCACCATTTCTGCTATGTGATATCGATCTCAATGAGGGAGTTATCAGGCAGAAAATTACCGCAAGGGGCTTGGCAACTTACACACATACACAACAGAACATGAAAAAGGTGGGAGAGGGGCGGGGTGAAAAGGAAATGAGGAACAAAGATCAGGAGCTGACTTGAGAAAACTATTAATGACAGGTCCATTGACTCCACTCTGCCCCTAGTGGTTCACACACATGATCCAAAGGGTGGGGTCGAGTGCTCTCTTCAAGGGTCAGGGCTCTGAAATGCATACACTTCAAGTAGTATGCATGTAATAATACATAAGAGCATGTAGTGGATTCTATAGCTATGAATTTTTTTAATTTTGGGCTGCCACAGAGAATGATAGGAAACACATTTTTGTCACGTTTTCTAGGTTGCGCAGTGTTGAGTTTATCTAAACTACAGATGGACTGATGCATCCCAGAGGGAATACTGATGTGTTTTCCGACACTCAGCATTACAGAAAACACGGCCGGAGCACATGCACTTGCTCTCAGTTGATGAGCTTAATCCCTGGAAGCTAATGGCGCTAATGCTACCGACCCAAATCACAGCTGCGTAGTTACGCTCTTAACAAGCGCACATACCTCCATACATGCATAGCATTACCATAATGCTAGATATAAGAGGCTCTTATTCGCATACTAAGCTCTGTGGGATCATTTAATATGTTAAAATTAATTCATTTTAACATACAGGTTAGGTATATACCCTGTTGACAAAAACATCAAACCAGCCTAAGGTTGGTCTTAATAGGTCTCCCAGTCTGGCTAGACTGGTTTGGTTTGCTGGTTTTCGAAGGGGTTTCTAGTCAAGCTGGGACACCAGCTAGATCAAATTAAATCAGCTAAGATTTCTACTTACACTGCTCAGAGTTGGATTTAACGTCAGCCTCTAGCATCAGTTACTAGCACACCTCTTGAGGACAGGGGAGTGAGGTTTACTCACATAGCTCATACTAGCTTGCCTTCATTACACTCAACTCAGCAAACCTCACTCCCATCCAGGTCATGGCACCATTACAACTGTGCTATTAGGATAACTTGCAGTGGTGCCTTGACCCGGATGCCGAGTGGGATTTGAACCAGCGTCAACAGGCATGGGAGGCAGGCACACTAACAAGCAGGCTAAAGACCACAGCCACTAGCTTCAGAAATGTACATATAATTTGTTGTTACCATTACTCTTAAGCAGGTTTATCTATCTGTACACATTTTGTGCAAATGTAAAATGTATGTACTCCACTGTTAGTGGGAAAGCACATTATTTTGAGTTGAAGACAGTTCACCAGCTGTCAGTTCACAACTACCATTTCATAAAAATGGGTCACACTGTTTATGTTTGCATGCAAGAGTTAGCATCTAGCTAATTCCAATACCTCACTCCGATGTAAAGATAAAACATCAAAATGTTGCCTATGTGCCACTTACCTGTAATCTCAATGTAACGGATACACTTTTCGATAAAGAGTGGAATGGGCCGCTCAGCCGAGACAACGTTGGCCAAGGGAACTCCAAAGTAGTTACTCTCCGGAGGTTTGGACAATGATGACTGACGACCCTTTGGCCGCGTTTTCTGCAAGACAGGAGAGGAACACATTTTGTTTTGTAGTAAAATGACAAGAGCTAAGCTAGGTGCAATGCACGCATACTTGAGCCACACATAATTGCATACAAAATGTATTTTAACATCTTAACGTGGTTGTCAAATGTTAATGGAACATGTTCATAGTTCACGTAGTTACACGTAGTTACTCTGAACTTGAGGAGAACTGACTTCATATATCCGCTAAAATCACCTTGATACCAGTTCATTAAAAGTGAAATGACTAGTTTTGAGAAAAGGTCTACCATCATTAGTTTCCACTTGGTTTTATATTTTGTAACTCATGCAATGAAATTCATTTGTTTTTAAGTGCCATACAAGTGTCCAAATATTTACTGGGGACAGGGTGCATAAGACCACCGTAGACATGGTCAAATCATTCACGTTATTCCAGCAATGTGACATTGTATATGTCTTTGAATTTGACTTTTGAGTTTAGAGTTCTGCAGGTGAACACACTGCTCATTCCTCCCTCCCCGACTCCTGCCTTCCCATAATGCTCTGCAGCAGGGCATCATGGCTTGTTGGCAAGTGTGTCTGACGATTATTAGGCCCAAGTCTGTCTGCTCCATAGCTAAAAGGCATCCCAGCTTCCTGGTACATCCGCAGGTCAAAGCTCTGCTTTTCACACATTCAGGAACCATGCCACATTTGCCTCCCTCTTTTTTTTTTTTTTTTTACATCTCCTTACATTCCCCACTCCTCTCCTCATTTTCAGATTTCACCTAAATCCCTACTGGCTCCTCTCAATAGACGTTTACATAATTACCACCCTCCCCTCTCCAAGCTCTCTGTAAAGAATCTGTGCTCCAATTACAGTTCACAGAGAGTATTACTGGGATGGCAATGTTATGCAAAAGTAATGCGTTCACCCTGCAATGCAGGTCACACAGCAACCCAGACTAAGGCGCACAAAGCAAACCAGTTACATCATGTTAATAACTGCTACTCCACCCATTTGCAACTTCAGACATGACAGGATACTTCACTGTTACAATTTGAATGGATACAATGTTTAACTATGTTTTATGCCTCACTAACCTGAGCACAAAGTATTCAGTTTTGGGAAACTTCTCATTGCAACCAGTCCCCTAGTATCTCTACCATGTAACCATTCGCTTTGCAGATACTGGTGCAAAGTCACGGGGGCATTAGAAATGGAACTAGGTGACGCAGGAATTTAAAACATTCCACTTGTTGGGTGAGGAGATTTTAAAAGGCTGAGTTAACATTTCCGGCCTCGCAGTCCAACATACTAAGAAAGAGAGAGAAAAGTGCGGATGGCATAGTAGACAAAAAGTAGACAGGAAAGGCTTATTCTAACTCCTTTAACATCAAAAAAGGGACAGTCTTTGTTGGACAGAGCTTAAACCAGTACAGATCCCTGGGGCTACTAGGCTACTGCTTTTTTATGGGTTCCTTTATGGATCAGTCCCATAAGGCAATTAATGCAAGCAAGGTGATTTAACCCAATGGCCTCATTCTAACCCTACCGAAATAATAAAGACACTGCTGTTCAATGAGAAGAACTGGTGGCTCAATGCTTTCATATGCCCTTAGGCTGTCACATGCTCAAAGAGAACAGCAGTCACTAAAATTTCTGCTTGTGTGAATACAGTGTATTATGGGAGTGACGGCGTTAGTCGTATTCCCAGCAAAAATTCTAAAATCGAAAGCAAGCAACCTACAAGGCATTGTTAAGGCCATGCTGTAGATGGAACTATAAAGTGAACAGCACTCAACCGCCATTAAAAAAAAGTGTTTGACTTGACTTAATTTCTTTGCTTTGTCTTACTTAAACTCTTTAAAAGAAACCACTATTTAATGGACATGCACCACAGTATAACCAAAAAACAACCTTGACCAAAGCTTGGCACACAGGCATCCAGATAAACTAAAGGATCAAAGTCTGTGCAACCATGAAACATTAAATAAAACAACTGGGTCTTCTCTCTGTGGATTTACTTTCTGAAAATTAAGTAAAACACAGCCTATCAGGCTACTGCACCAAGCCTGTAATTTGCATTTAGAGCATGGGTCAAAGTCTTTCGCTAAGCAAAGACTTTTCAACAAGAAAAGAAACAATGCATACCACCATACCTCAAAATGTAAAATAATCTTTCAAATTTCAAATCTTACCTGAACAATCAATTTAAAGGGTTGTGAGCACAAAAATGCATTTCTCAAGACATTAAGAGTTAAAGTATGTATTGTGAGTTCATTTTAATTTCATATGGAAGTATCTGGATTAGGGTTGTGCCGATGGACGATATCATCGTCCATCATGATGGCTGACCGACATCACGATGGAGAGCCACCATCGTGATGCCACGCCCCCCACCCAGACACACACTAATCTTAGTCTCTAAACTTTGCAGGGATTGCTCTGTAAATTAAATTGAGAATATAACTAATACATATGCATGCTATTTTAAATACTGTAGTCTATGCCAGAGACGTGACACACCCATTTCACACACACCCCGGTCTTAAAGTAAAAAGATGACTGAGAAAAATAGTAGTATTTAATTAAATGCATTTATGGTGAGATTACTACATTTCATTTAATTAAATGCATTTATGATGAAATTCATTGCCATGTCAATCTGTGTTAGCACAGCAGAAATAGACTCGGTGTGTGGCTAAACGATCTCTGCACTGCTGTATACGCATCACTCCTGGAACGGATCGCCGGACCGCATCCGCGTGCAGTGTGAAAAACCGTGCCAGGCTGCACAAATATTGATCTTGACATTGTTAGCCTCTTGTCTTTTTTACATGTCTTACACTGTACATTTAACTTATATTTAAATATTTAATTTTGTACAAGAAAACAGCCTTTATTAATGAATTATTAGTAGCCTATTGTAGTGTCTCAGGAAATCTTGCTCATCTCATCTAAAAACACACGGTTTCTACTAAAGAAGTGGAAAAACAACCACTGAAATAAGGTAAAGTTAAAAATACCAATTGCTATGATAATCACTCACAATACTTGAGTTCACATCCAGTGTAAAGTGTAGTTGGGCCCAAACTGACTTTTAAAATATGATGTATTTAATAAACAAATATTTTGAATCAATTAAATCAATTGAGATCATCTTAAAGTATAAAGTTAGCCTGTAAATGTGATCTTTACAATATATGAGACCATGAAGTATAATTCCAAAATATATGTTTTAAAATAATACCATAAAATTTACCTTTGTAGTTCTTCTACCAAGACTTCTCAATATATTCCTCCTCTTTGGGTCCTCGCCTTCTTCATTTAAGGAACTGTCCCCTTTCTGTGCACCAAGCTCATCCTCTTTAGTCTTGGGGAGACCTCCAAGCTCATCATCACTGCCAATAAAGCTTGTGCGGAAGCTGCTAAACTTTCCAAGTCGTTTGGAGCGATCACGATACAGCCTAGGTTTAACTCCAAGAGCAGACAGCTTTCGTCTACGCTCTAATGAACTGCTATCAGCCTCGCTGTCTGATCCATTTCCTGCACCATTAGAATGACTCTTGTTTGCATTGCGAATAGTGATGATCTTGCCCTGTGTGCTGTCATGTGGTACAGAATAAATATTCTCCTCCTCTGTGGGACGAGGCTTTGATACTGCATCCATGGGCTCAGCATAGTCAGATGGATCATAACCACCTTCAGTTCCTGGTGGCCAGGTGACTAATGAGCGCCTGTTAGGTCCATGTAGGCCCAGGTCCATGTATGAACTGATGTTTTGGGATTTGGGAATGTCAAAGGTGACATTGGGCTTTGGTCGCACCTGAGGTGGGACTTTGTTGTTAAGCTTGTTTTCAAAAGTGTTGATGTCAGAGATGAGCGAGAAGGCATCACCCTCCAAATCAGGGAGCTTGAAACCTCCACCATGGGTCAAGGTGCCATCATCCCGTAATGTGGGATAAGGTGGGGAGGGCTCAATGTCATCCTCTGAATCCAGCAACGTGGTGCTTGGAGAGCCACACCGAGGTGAAGAAACATTTTCACTGGTGACATTCTCTGCAACATTGTCATACATATGTGTTGCCTCTACAATGGTTTTTTTCTCCAATACCTCCTTAAAGAATGGCTGGAAGTGGTCTATCCGATGCAAGCCTCCCACCACACCACCAGGTCCACAGATCACAGAGCTGAAACGTGCATCAATTTCATGGGCCAGTTCCTCCCCTTGGGCAAGCTGCTCTCGGACAACCTCAGAGTCTGCGAGTTCCGATTGAGTCTCTGCAACAGCAAGCAACTGTACTGGGATAATGTCTTGGACCTCACAAAGGAAGGCACAAAGGGTTTCCATGGAAGCCTTCCGTTTGGCTGAGTACACTGCTATGTAACCATGCACCAATTTGCTTTTACGTAAGGAAAAAGATGAGTGGTAAGATAGAACAGCAAGATCAATGCTTTGCCTTTGGCCACCAATAGATAAATCCAACAAAACTGATGTTCCACTGGATAAATTGGAAGAGGGCCGACAGTGCTGGGGCAGAAAGAATGGGGAAAGAAGCTGGTCAACATCATAAGGATCTCCACACATTAGACACATTACAATTCGTAAGTCAGCCTCTGTGCTCTGCTGAGAGTCTCTGAAACCTGCAAGTGCAGGCAACAAGGGTGGGGAGCTACTGCCAAGACTAACTGACGGTCTTCGTGTGTCTAACAGACCTTTGAGGATCTGGTTTAAATGTTTTTCATTTATATTGCGACTATAGCCCACACCTGGGGAAGCAGGCTCTAAATAACTGCACTGAAATTTGCTAGCCACTTGTTGACCGTGTTGGATGAGGCTTTGTGCTGTTTCACCCCCAATGTCAGAAATTGAACCAACACCTCTTTTGGTGACCAACAGGAGAGACAAGGGAAGCTGACCTAGATTAGTGTCCCTTCTGCCTATGGTTGATTCTCGTAATTTCTCAATACTGTCAACAACATAGGATAAGGATTCCTTTGAGTTGTAGAGGCAGATGCAACCATGTGGGGTGAAAGTGGGGGTATGGAAGGAGTTTACTGGAAGGCGTACATTTCCTTCTATAGGTCGAAGAGCCAGTTCATATGTCCTTCCATCTAGAACGTACCGTTCATCGTTGGTGCACAGTGCTCTGATCTCATTAGCTAACTCTCTTGCAAGTCCATCTTTGCCAAGAATTACAAGATTAATTCTATCTACCTTTCCCTCACCAAACTGTGATTTTGAGCTCCCATCAAAGGAATATCGAGTGGGAAAACGAAGGGCTAAGTGTTGCTCAATTTTGCCATCCACACAATGTGGACTACAAGGACAGGTTTCCTTAGTTGGGTGGTATACAAAATGGATATGCTTGAGCACCAGGGCATCTCTCTCAGCCTGAAGCTTTTGGAGGGCCTTGAACCTCTGCTCCTCTCCAAGAACCTCTTGGATGGCACCCATTTTTTCTTTACTGGGCTTAGCATCAACTTCAAGCTCATAGAACAATTCAGAGTACTCCAGTAAAAGTTCTTGGAAGTCCTCTTTGGCTTGATCAATAATAATCTTCTGGTATTTGTTATAGATATCAAGGTACTCACACTCCTCCAGCCACTGATAAAACTCCTCGTTCATGATAAAGCTACGAGCTTCCTCCCAGGGTTTGCCAGGTGTAACAAATGGCGAAGACGCAAGTTTCTCTTTGAACTCCCAACGCATTTCTGCTCTCTTTCGCTCGTTGCGCAGGTGTTCTAAGTGACTCTCATAGATTGCCTCTGCTGCAGGGGTTTCCAAAAGGTCCTGGGGAATGCGTTCATCCTCCATGTTGTCAATGTGTGGTGTTATTTCCCATGGTGTGTCATCCAATATGACAAACCAGTGGGAGAATTCCCGCTTATTCTCGAGAACTTTCTGTACTCCTGACCAGCTTAGGTGATCAATCTCTTCCAGGCATGGAACCAATGAGTTGAGAGCCTGTGGGAGTGTGCTAAGATATATTTTACGCCGCTTTTCTATGTGCTCTTGCTTGAGTCTGTGTACATGTTGCTGGAATAGTTTCTTGGCCTTGGAAGTACCCTCAAGGAAAACATACTCTTTGTATTCAGGTGATGTCTGCATTCTACGATTGGTGTTGGGCCATGTTTCATTATGGTTCTTCACAATGCGGCTAACCAGCCACTCATAGCGGTCCTTAGCGGATGCTATTTGCTGACTCTGCTGCTTGAGGGCTTCAAAGTAAGGAATGATCTTGGGCTTCCCTCTACTCTTATCTATCAACTGCACCAAGGTAAGGAAAGCAAGGTCAACATTGACGTTAGAGCGTGCTGAAGTCTCAACAACCTGCAAATTCTTCTTGGCCAAGGCAAAGGTGTGAGAGTCTTTAATGTACCGCTCAACCCCTTCATCACACTTGCTCAACACAAGTACAACTGGCTTCTTGGTCTTAGCTAGCTGGTTATATAGATTGGTGACGAACTTCATCTGGTCATCAAAGTTCCGGTTCATACCCCTGCTCACATCTACACAGAGTAAGAATCCATCCACTAAAAGCTTGCCTTCAGGCATTTGCTTTTGCTCAAAGTCTTGCTCTAGTCCAAGTTGATCTGTGCAGAAATACATAAGCTTCTCAGCAGAGGCCAGTTTGTTGGAAGCTGCCCGCTTGATATAGGGCTGTAAGGCAGTACTTCGATGTGGCTGGAACGTTTGGTCATCAATAAACTCCGTCTGTTCCACCACATGCATTCGACACTCAGCGCCCTCCTCCAACATTCGTACCGCCTCGCCCCAAAACAGGAAGTGGTCATTGTTTACCACTCTACCACCAAAGTCACTTGTGCTTAAAACAGATGTGTGGTCCAAATAAAAGTCATCAGCACTGGGGCGAACAAAGCGATTACAAAGGCAGGACTTGCCTACCCCACATTGCCCCTTCTCCTTTTCAGTTCCGGACAAACCTACCACAACAAGGTTGTAGGTTGGTGCCCGTGCATCTTGTTTTTTTGCCATCATCATCGAATGACAGCGCTCATCTTGCCATTCCCAGAAGCTCTAGTTTGAAAGCTGCTGGGCTGAGGTTCCATTCAAATGATTTCAGGCCTGGAAAATAATTTATTTCTAACGATCCTGAAAGTTGCTTTAGGGTTTTTTTTCCATGTAGGGTCAGTATGTCCAATCCCCTTGATCAAACTATAAATCCACAGTCATCTGGCCATTCATGATTTTGGCAGAGGCTTGGGGTTTGAGGGTGGGGGAGAGGAGTCCCTTAGGCAGGTGTGCTGCAGGTGGTAATATTCCAGCCCATCTCCTCTCTTCAGGGGCACTTTGACACAGAAATATTGTAGGTTTCAGGTTTGCCCAGCCTGGATCTGACCCTGCAAAAAATAAAACAGACATTACAATTAGATTTTGAAAAAAATAAACAAATAAATAACTACAAGAGAAATACTTTAAATAAAGAAAAAAGTAACAATGAATCCACTACATTTTCATCTATGAAACATCTAAGAATATTGTTCAAGTTTGATCAAATATGACTATAAATCTATACGTTTTTGCATCAAAATGAATGACTTTGTATTGGCTGTTGGAAATTAACTACAGTACAGTAAGGGATGTGTGACTGCAAAAGTTACAAAGTATTTGATTAATATGGCACAACCCATCCCCATTTCATTTCAGAAGTTGCACAGGGTTGTTTATGTGTTATGATAAAGGTATCAATTCCAAGGAATAAGAGAGGCTGGTAACATATCAAAGTCAAACTTTTTGTATTGATTCAACCCTATAAGGCATCACATTCTAATCCCTGAACATATACACTTACACACACATAGATGAAAGCTGTTGTAAGTGCTTCAGAGATACAGTTTTAATTAGGCAACCAGGGAAACACAAATCGTCCTTAATAGGAAGCACTGGATATTGGCTGCTTTACAAAAATCATCTCAAAAAGTCTCAAAAATAATTTTTAAAAAGACTTTAACAACTCCATTAACAGGGTGAAACCTTGTGGATACCAAAACAAATTAAGTCAAGGCCTGTAGAAATCTACGAAAGAGAACAGAACCCTCTGGACAATAGATGACAATACACTGTTCTTGAAATTCAGAGCCCCAATAACCTGCCAAATGCAGAGACAAACCAAAAAAGACGTGGCTATAATGGAATGGAACTCCACAAAATGGAGTTAAGTGTAAAAAGTATCCTCAACCTGTTAATAGTTATTTTTCTTTTAGTTTAGAAAATACAATCATTATTTATACATATTTATATATATATATATATATTTGTCTTTTTAGATCAAGGCACTTCAGTTGGAACATAACCGGATTGTCATAGTGGGAGTCATCTAAAAACTACGCCATGGCAAGGCACTACAGAAGAGGTGCCACAGACCTCCATCTCCCAGATCAACAGCAGCACCTGGGAGGCAAGACTAGGTAAATGTGCTGACGACAGCTCTTCAAGCACTACATCTAGCAATCACAAGTGACACATGATTGCAGTTGCAGATGTCACTGTCACAGTCTGGGCCAAATGTAATGATTCTGCTGTGGTGCATTTGCTCTGGCGAAATAGCTTCTATACTGGCCCAGCATTCTTGAAATCACAAGACGTACAAGTTATACCACTGCATTTGAATTTATGACATTTCATAGAATGGAAAAAGGTATCAAAGTTTGAGCCTTAGCATGTCGTTCAATGTAGGATTGGTGATAAGACCAGTGGAATCATGATCATCTCTCAGAAACATTTTCAGCTTTTGCTTCAGTACGATTAGCCAGCAATCAATAGACACTTGCAACAGAGCAAACACAAAAGTGAGGTACGCTGGCTTACCCAGAGAAAGGGGTTTGAAATGTCAAGGATGGATTTGTCATTGTACTCCACCACTACAGTAAAAAACAAGGTGGAGAGCCACTGAGCAATGTAGTGCTGTGGGTGTGGCAGTGTAACATTTGTTTAAACACTGACCAGCTCCCCTAACACAACAGCTCGGAAACATCATTTCGATTTTATATGTTAAATATTACACTTGCACTGCTCAGGACCCAGGTATCTCACAGAGGAAGACCCAAGAATCTCACAGAACCCCAAAAGATCATTCAAGACCATAATTAATAGAAAATAATTTACTAAAAAATGATATATTTTATAAAATACATAATAGCATTATCCTTGCTGTTGGGCAGAAACCTTGTATCTTCATATTTCATATTTTATTTTATAAATCATTACTTCTTGTCACCCTTTGCGTCTGTCTGTGGGGTTTGCATTATATATTATATTTAACAAATATAAAATGATTAAAAAAAAGAGTTTGTGACTAAACATGTTGTCAAGTCACAGCCAGTACTGTCATAAATAGCCAGTGCATAGACTTCATCTTTTATAACAACATTTTTGCCAAATGACAGAAAAAACTGAGCACCCACATAGTTACAATAAACGTTATAACCTGTAAGATGATGAAAATGTTATGCGATGCACTTACTATCTCAAATACAACCGTTTTAAATGACAGACAAAATATGTCCAACATCGACTGGTCAAAAACCTCTTAACTCCATTTAAGCTTGATTTTGGTAAAATGTTAATATATTAATGACACATACAAGTGTCTGACCATATATAAAGCCACAATATCAACTTTAACAACAGCGTTTAATTGTTAAAAAGATTTTCTTCCATTTTTTTCCAAGAAGTTTTTTCCATTTCCTGAAAACAATCTTATACTACCATTAAATGATGATAACTTACATTATTACACTATTTTAATGTATAAAAACAAAAAGTAAAAAAAAAATACACTGCAGTACAGTAATGAAAATCGCCATTGACAATGTATTCTGTATAGTCTTTAGATTTTAGTCATTATATTCATCCAATGCAACGAGACTTAAATTGTTCTATTTTTTGTAGTTTTCTGTAGCCAATCAGAATCATGAGGACATCGCTGAGACCATCAGATGTAGTTATCAGTTAGTAGGCTATGAGGGAGTAATTATATCATATAATTATATCATCCATGCTGATAGAGGGCAGGTAATCATGTAATCATGCTCAAGAACAGGTTGCCATAAGTGGGACCCATGGTAATGCTTTCCGTATTAAATATCCAAGATGTAACAACGAGGAAGATACGAGAATGCATTTTGTGGTGGAGAATGCTTGAAAATTCATTTTACCAGAGGAACACTTGAGAGCTCTCAAGTACAAAACAATGACAGCTGCCTGGATACAGATCAGCAATGACCCATGTGTCATTGACAGACACACATACACATGCACAACCAGGTGGTGACTCCAGGCTTCTGGGACCAAAAGAAAAATATCAGTACATCTATTCTGTTGGGTCACCAACATGACAAGTGATGCCATGCTTGCTGGTTCAAGACCAATTGTAAAAGTCATTAGTCTAATTAAGAAAGTGCTCATTATTCCTCAGCTCTTCAGGACCTGGCTCTCTGAAACACTCACTTTGCCGCCAGCACAAGAGCCACATCTGATCTGTCCCAGCTGTGTAATTCTGTGCATTGCTTTGTCTTTCCATGTTCAGCATGCTATTAGTGCTGTGAACGAGATAAAATTAGAACAACTAAAGATGAGAGCCAAATCAGCCTGTGTTTTTCCACTGATGGACTAATGCAGCAACAAACAAATCATAGACATCATAAACATGAAAACAGATGGCTAGTATAGTTGATACAAAATCAACTAATAAACATTCAAGCACTTCAAGCAGACATTCAAGCACTAAATAATTGTTCCTGTCAATGCACAGTTGTCGAACAATTGCTCTGCTCTTCAAATTTGGCAATAATTACAATTTATAATAGAAAGGAAACCAAAGTGAAAATGTTCACATGCAAGTTGGATTTGGCTACCATAGCAATAAAAATGTGATAATGCTCCTCCTACTTGAGTCGTGGAAAAAGTCTTCTCTTCTTTACAAGAAAGTCACTCGAGTCACGGAGTACCAGATGCCAAAGCTTAGACTTTATTGGTGGAGACAACAAAGACGCATGCAGAACATCTAACCTTCTTGTTCAAAATTCTCAATCTTATACAGTCTAAGCATTTCTTAAACATTCATTGGCTTATCTTTCATTTTTATTAACCCATCCTCCTTGGTCTGGTTTAATTAATTCCTTATCTTTTTTGGCTTCTTTTTAATAGGTGGTGTGCCACCAAGTTGGTCTATTTTTATAAAGAAACATTTTATCATTATGCAGGTGCAAGCTCATGGCAAGTTCAGCTGAAATTAATAAGACCGAATGTGAATCACAGAGGCCTAATATCATGGTTTCACTCATATCATTGTGCAGACTATTCTACAAACATATCTTAAATGTCTAATAAAAATGTACTATACTTGCACCTTTGCTCGCTATGAGTCTGCATCAGTGTGAATTCAAAAAAGTGTGCATCGAGGGCACATAGTGGCCTTCTGAATTTTTTTTTTTTTTTTTTTATAAAAATGGAACACCCTACAATCTTATAGACAACCATAGCAAGTCTGCATATAATTGGGAACCACTATGCTAAAGTATCATCTAGCAGAAGGCAAAGACAGATGTTCCAGAATCCACCACTCAGAGGTTAGATACAATCATATCCATTGCCATGTTTGGATAAGACATGATATGGTCCATCAAGCCAAAGCTTGGCTAGCATGTAGCCTGCAGGCTTGAGGACTTCACCCTATCTTTCATGTTGGGACACAGTCACTAATAGATGAGGATATGCCTGGACTTGTCCTCAAACATGGCCTATAAAAGAGTAGAAGTGTGAAAAAGGGAGAAGGGGGTCCGGCTGGCAGGCGTAAGAAAGATCATCTGAGAGATGGTCGTTAACTAAACCAAAAACAGCATGTAGGGTGAAAAGGGTGCGAAGTTCGCACTTGCTGTTAACGGTGGGTTGCCGCTAACTAAATGACAGGGGCAACAATAAGGGATCAGGGCATTCCAAAGCTTGTTTAAAGAGTAGTTTAGTCTTTTAAGGGACAGTTAAGGTTTAAACCCCACAAGTTTTCTGAGCTTTAGGCTACTGTTAAAAATAGATCACATTCCTCTGGCCTTGGGCCTGACCTGCACATAAGCTAAGAATCCTGTTAAAATGGCAGGAGCCAAACTGATCACAGGGAGGAATCCATACAATAAAGTCTAATAGATGTACTGTAAAGCTTTGCATGACTGTTTCTTTCTGATCTTAAGGTTATGGTTGCATCAGATAAGAACACGCTGTTTTAAGAGAAGTGACTAGACATTTTTTAGTACACCTTTATGATTTTTTGAGTGCTACAAAGGCTTTTTGACTTTCAGCCCCCTGACTTTTGATATGTTAGCAAGACTAAAAAGACAATGAAAAT